TATAAAGGAGAGAGGAGTTGATGAATTGCAAACAAGTATAATTTATATGGACAAAGTGTGCCAGAAGTGCTTTTCACCCCATTTTACTCTGTAAATGGAATTATTCCTGCCCATTCACTTGGCCTAGTGCCCAACAACTCAGAGAGGAAAATGGTCCCTTGAGTCTTTAGATCAGGATTCTACTCCTTCCCCTGAGGAAGTGGTGCTCTGCACTTGTGCTCACCAGGGACCCCAAAAGGTGAAAAAAGATCTTTGAACATACTGTGGTCATTTTTCAGATGTTTCCCTTGTGACTTTTTAGATTATAATATACATCACGCAGCTACACTGCTACCCTGTTGGTAATTCAAATATGAAAATTTGCATGATGAGGAAGAGAAGAGGAAGTAATGAAACCTCTTTTCCTGGTAGCCTTGCAGTCTCTCTCCGTGTTTTGATTACCCATGGTAGACCATTTGCCTAAATATTTATAAATTTAATAATTTTGTAAATATCTACATTTAGGGTACCTTCTTCCTAAGGGCTTCTCTGTTGACTACAGAACAACCAGCTGTGACTTTATATTGTTAAAAACCAGAACCCAAGTGCAATAATAACCCTCAATCTTTTATTTATGTAGTTATTCATTATTCTGGGCATTTCTTTATGTATTAAATCATTCAGTCTTCAACTATGATTTTCCCTTTCATGCTGCAGGAGGGAGGAATCAAAGTTAAATAAATACAACACGCCTCTTACTGACCTGGTTGGGAGTATACAAAGAAGCATTCTGTCATGACAAAATGATCATTTATCTACAACATCCTGTTAAATCAGCTGACTATCATATTGTTGCTGACAACACAGTTATCCTAGCCCTCAAATAATTTCTGTCCTAAGAATTTCAAATTATTGCAAGTTTAGACCTTTATTATAATAGTATATGTACTGATCCCACTTGAGTTTGCCTGTATTAGTTATAATTTTATATTATCTATTTATAACATTTTAGGTTCTCAGCAGATAAAAATGATATAGTGGGTTTAATAATGGTAGGGTAGAGAATTATAGCACATAATGTGTGTACTGTGCTGAGTGCTTTGTATACACTATCTCATTTAATAATAATATGAAATGTCATTACTAGAATTATTACATTTTGTTGAGAGAGTCAAAACAAAAACTAAGCTTGAAGATAAGCGATCCACCCAAAGTCACACAGTTCTCAAACCAGAACCTCCAATGTATATGTTTAGGTCAACAGTAGGTGTGATCAGATGAAGTAGGCAGTTAGGTAGGAGATAGCATGAAGTGAGGGTTTCTTCTACCTTATTTCCATAGTCAGAAAAAAAAAACTGGTCAGATTTAGAAACTGTACTTTTACCTATATTTAGTCCCTATTCATCTTGCTCTCAACCTTTATATAATTTTAGCATGACTTCCCACTTTATGAAGGAGTACTTGAAGTCTGCATGCTGATTAGTTATACAGTTTTCTTTGTCAGTGGTGGGGGGATGGAAGTGTGTGCATGTGTGGGGTGATGGGGTATCTAAAATTTCTTCATATTATTTTTCTCAGAACTTGTGCTTGTAACGGAAGTTTCTTAACATGAAGTGTCATCAATTTGGTCTCACTCAGGAAGTTGCAAGGCGCTTGACTGTAACCTCAATGAATTGGACATTGTCTAAAACTTAATAATCTCTAGCTCCCTTTTTTAAAAAGAAAATTGACAAGTTCTTTCTTCTTATTTCTTAACTAATTCTCTTCTAAAACATCCCATGTTTATATTTAAATCAGTCTAATCAATCTACAGGCAAGTTGACCTAATTTTTTAAAAGTAAATGAAGTATTTACTTACTTTTAAAATTTTCTTTGGGAAATATCAGGAAATGCAGAATGTTATTTCAACTTGCAGGAAACAACATTCTACTGTTAATCTCCTGTATATTTGTCCAAATCCATGAGCTATAATCCCATATGAAGTGGCCAGGCCAGGCGTAACCCATATATCCACTACTTTTCCCTTCCTTTCCATAAAATAGTGTTTCAATTTCAAATTTCCAACACACTATCTCCACCATGGCCCCACTCCTGTTCAGGCTACCACACTGAATAGATTATTCTAGGGCCTCCTTGGACACTGCACAGACACAGACCATAATTTTTAAACTTTAATCAACTTGCTGCCTTAGGGAGGTCAAGAGAGTACTGCTTTATGAAGATGCCAGGAAATTGTAGGTTGGGAAGCATCTAAGGGAACTACTTGATTGTAAAATAGGGAAAATTACCTGTGAAGTATGCTCAGCCACAACTGCAGTTCCTTCAAAATGAAGATCTGGTGTCCAATCAAGGATTTAGGGAAATGTTTTTGAGCAGATGTTCTGCAGAGGCCCCAAGGAGATTGAAGTAGCAAGAAAGATTGGACTCCTGTAGAGAGGAAAGGAGGGAGAAAAGTGGAGACGCTATAAGGGTCGAGTTGCTGGAAGGATGGCCCCATCACAGAGCAAAGCACTGAAAAAGACACATGTGTGGCAAAACTACCTATCACATTATGCTGCTTTTGCCTTTTGTACTGATCTTTGCAGTGCTAGCCTCACCTTCTTAAGGTTTTCCCTTGACCATGTGTTCTGTGACCATCCAAGGCTGGATAGGTTCACTGTCAGTTTAGCCAGCTTAAAAGAGAACCTTGGTGCTCTTGGCATCATTCCCAAAGGTTTTTAAATAGTACTGAGGGGAAACAAGCCAGCAGGGAGACAGCAACTTGGGCTCCCTTGCAAGTCTCTATACGCTTTTTTCTCTGGGCTTTTTTTTGCTGGCTGTTTTCTCGTGGCCTCTTCCTCTTGCTGCCGTAGCTCATCCTCTCATAGCCGTTCTCTGCCGCGGCTTTCTGCTGCCCTTATAGCCTCATCCTCTAGGCTCAGGTGTGCCCACTTACGCATGCCCAAACCATACTCCAGGTGTCCACAGTCAGGCACCCTCCCAAGCGCCTCCTGCATTAACACAATCAGGGTGACAGCCACAAAGGTGATAGCAGGTGATGGCCACAGAGGTGATAGCCACAGAGGTGATAGCAAGCGATAGCCACAGAGGCCAGCAGGGCAGAAGCCTGACCAATCTTCATTTACCCGACACTGTGAAAAACTGAATAAAGAGGAATAGAAAGAAATAGTTCTTTCAAGGTTGTGAGACAGTTGAGGAATTTAGCCCTTCTGTTGCTGTGACTGGGAGAGTAAAGAATGATAGTGGTTAGGGGCCTGACCAGATGATCACACTGGCTTTGTGTTTCTAGTTTGATACCTAGTGGGAATCCCAGTCTCCTTCATTTATTTATTCGCTCAATAATGAATAGACTTGGAATATGTATGCTGCCAAGATTTGCCAGATTATCTGATCTCTTGGATCAGACAATCTACATTAGAGTTTCATCATAGCCTCTCTATTGGATTTAGCTGAGTCTTTCTGTGTAGGAAGATTGTAGAACTGTTCTGAGATACATGATTCTTCTGATTCCAAGGATATCCTATATTAACAAACTAAAGTATGTTGTCACATGGTCAGATAATTTTTATTTCAGTTAAATGGAGTTAATCTTCATACTATGTAATATGATAAATGCATAAATGCTCTAGCCAATTGATACGAGTTGCTTTGGGAACACAAAGAGGAAAACACCTAAGGAAGTCAGCGAAGTTTTCACAGAGTGACTTTTGTGACTAGTTTTAAGACAAAACAGAGGGAGGCTTCTAGATGTAGAAAATATCAGGGGTCACTCCAGGAAAATAAAGAGCTTAAGAAAAGACTCAAAGGGAGTAGTAAGTCAGGGATTGTTATGACTACAATTCTCTGGTCTGGTTTCATATAGAATGAGAGGTGGGAAAGGAAATATATAACTCACAGGGTAGGTAAAGCACATGGGAAGGATAGAAGAAAGTATATACTATACTTTATACTAAAGTATATAAAGACAATGAGGAGACATCCAAAAAATTTCTAGCTGGAAAGTACATGATTTGATTTATATATATGTTAGAAAAATCTTTCTGGAGGCTGTCTAGTAGGTGGATCAGACTAAGGTAGAGTACTTGTAGAACAGAGGTAGTTGGAAAGCTATTGCACATTTCATACATGAAATCATGAGGGTCCAAAATAAGAGAGCAACCATGGGAATGGATTGAAAACCTTGAATATGAGAGTGTTTCTAGAGGTAGGAGCCATAGGGCTTGATTATTATTGAATCTGCATTGGGAGGATATCTCATACAAAATCTGATTTTATAGAAAAAATTATCATCTGATTTGGATGACTGGCTGAATGTTGTTATTAAAGCAAGAGCTAGGTTGGGAATAAAAAAGAAAAGACAAATTTGTAGTGAAAAATCAAATTCAAGCATTTGGGTATAACACGTTGAAGCTTCCTAGAGTGCTATGGAATGAATTGTGGCCACCCCCCTCCAGTATGTATGTTGAAACTCTAACCTCCAATGTATGAAGATGTGACCTTTGGAGATACAGATGAGGTCATGATGGGACTTAACAAACACTTAGTTCTGTAACACTTAGAGAACTTATCTCTCCCAAGTGAAGAGATGAAATTAGAAGGTGGCAAATCAAGAAAAGACCTCTTTCTAGAATCTAGCCATTCTAACAACTTGATCTGGACTTCTATTCTCCAGAATTGTGGGAAAAGATTCTGTAGTTTAAGACACCCAGACTGTGGCATGTGGTTATGGCAGCCTGAACTGACAAGTACATGGAGGTATTCAGAAATTGAATAATACACATCTGAGATAAAGAGATAGAGGTGATTGATTTGAGAATCATTTATATAGAGAGACATATTGTATATACCAACTGACTACATATATGAATACACACACACGAATACACACAAACACACAAATATAAAAGTGACATCTAACTATGAAACCATGTCTGGTAGGAGATATTTTATCTAAAGGTCTAATGTGAAAATACCCTAGGAAACATCAACCTGGAAAATACCAAATGTACATGATTATTTTTATTATTCGGATTAAGGTATTTCAAAATTAAAAAAAATATTTACATGCTTAAAGATGAAACATCTGTACAATGATCAAATTAGTTTTACTAAATCAGAATGGACAATATATTGTCATCTATACTTTTATACCAGATAACAGTAAAGAAGTCCACAAAAAAATTAGCACTTCACTTTGAATCAGTATAAAATTACTACAATATTAACACACTTTCCCAGTAAGCATAAAAATGAATGTAAATGCTGCCTTGACAATTAATTAAATAGACACATGCTCTATTACTGTTCATTCAGTAAAATATACATATTCAAAGCTGGCAGGTATGAAAAAAAAGATTTTTTTCCACAGAATTTTTCATTTTTCACTTACAGAATACAGTAAAATAAGTTTATTTTATGCATATGTAATACCTACACTTTTTAATATAGGCAAGTGAAATATTAACATATATGGCTTTTAAAAATAAATATACATATTTACAATTGGCAATGTTAACAATTACGAAATTGTATGTACAATTATTTAGATGAAAAGATTTTAACTTTAGATTGTTTCTGCAAATACTTTTCTCTCCAAGTTCAAGATGAGTTAGAATAAAATGTTTCTGTGGATGTAGAGTTGAGAATGTGTATTCATTCACTTGTCTCTGTGATAGTAATCTTCTGTACCATATCTGGCAGATTTTCTGACTCCAGATCTTCTTTGCCATTATCTGAATTTTCTAATGAGATATAACAACCAGAGTCTCTTGGACAGTCATCTAACTGGGACTTATTTAAGGAGATGTCTGGACTTAAGGAAAGGGACCCAGATTCATTTTCTTGCTCTTGAATAGCTGTAAATGGAAAAGAGGACAACAATTAAGAAGAGCCAAGAACAATTTTATTCATGCACTCATTCATCTATTTTAACTGTTCCAATTTTGACTTCATTACAATTAGAACTTTCATAAATAAATAATATATTTATTACAAAAGAGATCTTTGCACTCAAATATCCAAGTCGCTGTTCTCTTAAAAGCAGAGTTTACCCTTTTTTGTTCACTTGCAGGTTCATGGAATTCCTGTGAACTGCTTATATAAGTGAAAATCAATATGGACTCTCATTTTACATTAATGATAAGTTGCCAGAGAAAGCAGACTGTATCCACAGTGTGACTGATGCCTTGTCCAAATACTCTTTAAAGTAACATTAGAAAAAGTCATTTGTAGTTTAAAGTACAAATCAAATCAATAGAGATGTTTGTGAACAATTGTAGAATAATGATAATGTGGATTAATGAATAAAATATCACTATAGGGAACAATGTAACAGGAGTTCAATTACTTGGAATTTAACTAACAAAACTTGAAGTATCCAGAATTTTCCTGTTTGCATATAACAGAAAAATGGACACAGAACTCAAGTCGCTTTTAGATAGTAAAACACTGACCTTTCTACTGAACATTTAGTTTATCTTCACCTCAGTCTGAGTTCTGAATAACAGATTGGTTCATATTGGTAATTCTGTCATTAAGCAGTATTTTAGATTAAAAAAAATCTTTTAGGAAAAAAATAATATTGCAGAGGTAACAAAACATATTTCTAAAGAACCTAAGAAGCCATATAAAGTTTGTATATTTTTATTAATCCCTTAGCTTTTGCATTGTCTTTGTTAACATGAAGTTTTCTTTATCTTCTCTGACGTTAGTAGCTGGGTGTTTCTCTGTATTATGAGATAGGTTCCTCAGAAGAGATGGATCTTAGGCAACCATCTCTCATCTTGAACAACATGTCTCGCTTTTCCCCCTTCTAACCTCTGGACTTCCCCATTTTGGATATTTGAATAGCCTCACATTGGAAAAACCCAAACATATGTATTTCAGTGGTGGAGAAGACCTCTGCCTCAGAAACTATACTTTATTCCAATAAGAGAAGAGTAAATGTCAACTTCAAAACCCTGGAAAGAAGAAAATTGTGTGGTTTCTTCAGTAGACTATTGTAATACTAAGTAATATTTCCTTTGGAAATCTATTCTGTATCTTCTATATACATACCCTGATTTTCAAATGCATTTTCTAGGCTACAGATATGTTGCCAACAGGTTTTTAGTCTACTATGTATCCAGTTGTTATCAACCTCTGTTACAAGAGAGAATTGATCCCTGGTGTCCTAAGGTGTCCTTGTATGTAATGAACTAACTTCTCTTCCATCTATCTAGAATTGTACTGATTATATACCATCGATGGAGGAATTGAGAAAATAGTCATTTAAATTATTTTCTGTATTCTTTGGGCTAGATGAGAAACACAGGTTGAGAAAGGCCAGAAAAAAATGATACAAAATCATTTTAGTCTACTCATCTTCAACACGATCCTAAAGTTCTTTTATCCTTTTCATCAACGTTTTATTTGCAACAATGAAACTATATTTTTACCATTCTCCTGAATCTTTTCCATGTTTGCCACAACTTTATTTAGCCGTGGAGCAGGTATCAGATATTTTAAATCTAGTGTCTCAGAAGCTTTAAATATAATATTTACTTATAATGAATATTATTTTAAAATTTTGCTACCATATAGCATTTTGTGTTTATAAGTCACAACAATGTTTAGATTTGAGGTAATCTATACACTATTCATTAGTCTTTGCGAATATCATTTGTTTTGTTTCTAAGTCCATCTTTTATGAAAAGGTAGCTCTAAATGGACTTCAGTCTCAGAGGAATAGCTTTCTTTCTTGCCTCGTTTTTCTGTTTTATTGCCACTGAAATGAAAGGAGCCATTTCCATGTTCCATCATACAATTGTTTCTTTTGTATGTTTCCTGCCACATCAGCAGAGATCACCACAGTTAGAGTATGACTTCTTTAGTCAGAATGCTTGTGGGGATAAAGCCATATTTCCCCAAATTATATTTGGGCCTATCACTTCATCATAAAGATAAAAGTACTGAGTTACTTCCCTTCAGACACTATCCTAAACAGGACTTTGCATAATAAAAAAGGTTTGTTCTTAGGACTGTGTTCTATTTAGGTTGGTTAATAACTGTGGGATTCTTTTAGAGATATAAAACTTAGGCTTAAATAACTCTAAATTCCAAAATTAGCTCTTTTCCTTTCAAAAAAATAAGCACTTCACTTGTTATTTCATTAAAGGCCTCTAAATATCCACCTCAAAGGATAACAAAGTAAATAAGCAATAAATGAAAAACTGACTTTAACAAAGAAATTTAAAACATTAGTGTAAAATTGTATCTGTTTTTATTTCCTCCTGAAGAGTGCCATATCACATTCTCTAAATTCTAGGAATTGGTTTATTTTAAATACAGGTTATTTATTGTAGAAATTTTTCATTTGCAATTTTTATGGAAAAAGGAAATAGTTTCTCAGTATGAAAGTGATGCAGCACAGTAATTTACGGAACAGCAGTCATTTGCTAAATGATTTCCTAGTGAAATGAAAGCGTGACTATGCCTCCTCAAATGCTTCCCACCAGGTTTGCAATAATTTCAGGCAGGTGATCAGCTGGAGCCCCTCAACTGTAACTATAAAAAGAAAAGGCAGATTATTATGTTATATTCTAGAAATAAGAGCTATAGAGCATCAGTTTTTGTACTTGGAGGGTCAAGATTTACCTCTTCTTTTTTTCCCCTTTATCCTAATACTGATGATTTAGGGATTGGCACAAATCTAGGTCTGGTGCTATGGTGGGGTTTTCCAGCAGAGGGGATGGATTCACACTATGTATCCACATTTTCTTTGTAAGTCATTTAGTCCCTTCATGGGGCCATGAAACAGAGTAAAACTAACTGGCCTACCTTGAAATTGAAACTATAACCTTCATCAGTTTTTGCCCCATAGTCCAATCACCTGAGCTAAATAGGCAAGTCACACATTGGAGCAAAAACTGGTTTGCCTCCAAAAGTACAGACTTAGCATAAATATTTGTGGATATCTTTTTTATACAAAAATGTTTCTGATAATGTATTAAGTTAAAAATTCAGTACATACAATTTATATATTCTGTTATTAAAATTATGTGAAATCATACACATATGCATATAATTCACCAATGAAAATGCTAAAATTATAGATCAATTTTCTCCATACTTCTCAAATCATCTACACTATTTTATATTTTAACAAAAAGTTTAAATGTTACATTTTTTCAATAAAGCCATGAAGACTATAGATTTTCAAATTTATGAGTCTATTGGAAGATCATTAAATAATTTGTTAAAGGGTCTGTCATTCATGCCAGCTAACAGCATGTATAATAGGAGGCCCGGAATGCAGCCTTAAACAATTTTGTACTCTATATAATGAAAAAATTTGTTAAGAAAAAAATTTAGCAACTTGTGTATCATGAAGAACTAATTTGAATATTAAAATATTTTATTTCTGACCAAAATTATTTTTTACAAATCGTATAAAACCCATGGTTCAAAGTTGTAAGGTAGCCATTAATGAAGAAAAAAGTGGCATGATGATTAAAACACAAGACAACTGATGTAATTATTCATAAAATAATTACATTGGAACTGTGACATTTAATTAATTAAGTACAAGCAATCTCAATTACACTAAAAGTGAAACATGGTTTAAGGAAGTCCAACTAGATCCTAATTCTGGGGAAAAGTTTTCAACCTCTAAGGAGCGAAATCTGGTCTATATTCACATATTAGAAAGTTAAGGATATAATAAAAATATAAACTACTTGTTTTTGCTGATTTTCTCATGTTTATTATCTCAAATGATCCAGATTTGACTTTACTCCCTTCTTTACCTTAAGTATGAAACCTCTGTTTCTTTGGACCAAGTGCTAAAAATGTACGCAGCCTAGGAGTCTTAGGAAAATGCCGTGAATCAAAGTGCTCAATAATTTTTAAAAAGACTGCGATATTTAGATTAATTAAGGGAAATATGTACTAAAGAAGATCAAATGAGGAATTTTGTTGAAATTCAAATGAAGATACTTCTCAGTTCTTTGAATTATCCCCCTGGTGCTCTTTAACCTGGTGCCATGCATACTAGGGATATGCATCTTGGAATGGCTCAAAACCTAAACCTCACATTGTAGCCCCAATTGAATTACTCCATCCTCAAGCCCAGGAAGCCTCCAGATAGTTATGGCTATATTTATTTGTCCAGAGGCAGAACTCTGCCAAGGAGGAACATTTAGTGGACTATATACAACAGCTCTTAGTTATATATGATTTCATTTTAAGTACAGACTTAAACTAACCGAACAATTTACTTTTCTAATTATGGTGAATATTTGGAATTTATTTCATTTGAATACTAACTCATTTTGGAAAAACAGCAACAAATGAAAAACAGGAATCCCTTCACAGAAAACCAGCCAGTTACTATTGTTTTCATGAAGTCATATGATAGAGAATTGAAATGACTCTCCCTCTGTTCCCGTATTTCTGTTTGCCTCCTAGCATTACAGTTTACCTTCTAATGAGATGTGAGCTGGGTAGTAAATGTTTTCATTCACACCCACAGGACCCTTCAGTTTCACCATTCTAGCTGCTCTGGGCAGGGCACACACACTCACTCAAGATCAGAGTCATGTTGTACCAATCTGTACAACACGATTACAGACTGATTGGAAGAGGAATACATAGACCAATCACTGCTCTTTTAGCCAACAACATGCCCCGCCCCATGGGAAGCTTTGGTCCCAGGAAATATTTACCTTAAATTGAGTTGTTTTCATACTGGACTGACTATTTTGATAATGATCAAATGAGACTAAAAGCACTAGCATTATGTATAGCTTAATTAGGAAACTTGGGAAATCAATTTCACATTCCTTATAGTTTAAATTAATTCTGTTTACTTGATATG